AAATTTGCTTCAAATTCTACGCATGGTGAATGGAAGGGAACTTTTGTCAGCGGTGCAGAAACTTGAGATTTACAGACGTACAAATCCAAGTGGTAGCTGTCCACATGAAGGTGGTTTAAGTGTTTAGCAATCTTTTTACTCAGATGATGTCCTTCCTGAAAGCGCTTACCTGCCTGTCCCTTGTGGTAACGAAAGTGGTTGGCTCATGTGACTTTCTTCCCATGATCCTTTGTCGCAGGTCCTAGTGCCACCAATCTCATAATAGGCTCCATCGCTGGTGCCATCCTGGTAGCAGCTATTGTCCTTGGGGGCACAGGATGGGGATTTAAGTAAGCACCGCCGCATGTCTTCTTCTCGGTGGCTCTCGCTCTTCTCTTTTCTGCTTACATAACCAAGTTTTGAGTTCCTGCTACCAGAGTTCGAGTGTTAACAGTACAACTGCTAAAAATGAGTATTTTGATTCGGAAATGGGTCTGAAAAGAAGACACATGGAAACTCAAATATCGGCTTCAGGCAAGTGGGAAAATATGACCTGTAGAAGGCATTCCCATGCACCGCTTTAAGGAGAACAAAGTAGAAGTTCTTTGACAAAAGACATTCCAGCTTTTAGGAGCGAGCATTTATTTATATGCAGATAATCGAGGAAACTAGGTCATTGGGAATAAGTGGATATAGATTCCTTGTGTCTGTTTAAAACTGGTTTATATTCCATTGACATTTTGAAATTTTCACCACCTAAGTAATCATTTGCTCCGTGTTTTTTCACATGGAATAGACAGCTTTGTGATTTGAAAAACTTTTTTTTAAATGAAAATGGATTTAAAAAAATATTTTCATTAATTCCCAAACCCACTGAATTGGTTTCTCATTAGAATTTGAAATCTGTGGCTTTGTGACACTTAATATTTTCTAATGAACTGTCAGTAGTGACATGAGTGGCAAGCCCCGGCTGTTTTCATAGGGGCCTTTCAGTTTGGATTGTACATTGATCACCAGAGTCTGTTGTTTCAATAAACATGCCAGATAATCACAAACAAGCCTTAACTGTGGTCCAAATTTTTGAACCAAATTTATCCAGTTTGGATTTTTTCATATCTTGGATTCATTGGATAATTGCTTTTTATACCTTTTCATGCTGTGATCACTTAATTATTGTGATCTGTAGATAAGACCTCCTGTGCCAAATACTCCCAATGATAAGTTCAATTCCAGTTAGATCTCATGGGACAGGTCTAAGTGGGGAGTAAGACCATCACCCAGACCGAAAACCCACTTTGCCTCCACCTAGTTTTTTAATAGAGGCAGCTTTTGGCCTGAATTATCTGGATAATTGCCTTAATTGTGTATTTTATTTTGTATTTGGAATTCTGAATTCAATCTATTTAAGCTAGCTAAACTATTATTACTAGAAGCTGAATATGGAAGAAAAACAAACCAAAAGATGATTTAATAAAATTAAATTTTAAAATGTGATAAAATCAATTCAACATTTTCTGCTAATTTTGTTATGACGTTAAGATGTAATGAGTAAGCCTACGAGTTTTGAATGACTTCAGCTTGGAAAGGTGTTATCGGATGGTACTTCTTTTCCACAGGGATATTTATAAACTTGAACTTGTCTGGTGAAACAGTAATTTTGGCATCAGAGTTTTTCAAAACCACAGAGACACACGAAATGGGCAACTCACAATTAAATTTCTCATCATGGTACTATCAAGATATTGCCCAGATGATGAGTCACTTATGTAGTACCTAACAAAAGAATATATGTTGGTTTGGGCTTGACCTAATTCCAGCAAAAACTTTTCTTAGTGTCTCATTATGGTGAAAAAGTCATTGTATATTATAGTAGTTCCACGATCTGTTATCATTCCATAATGCTCCTTGGAAATTTTTCATAAGTATGCTTCAAGAAAAGTAAACTTGGCTCATGCCCAAGCTTATGCCTCCTTGGTATTAGGAAACCTCAGTTTTAAAGGCCTAGGAGTGTACTGTGTGCATCTTTGCCATCCAGCCACATGCAATGACAGATGCATTTGGAGATGAGAGCACTGTTATGTAGCAGGACCTCAAAACAGTGGCCTGGCCTAGCTCACAGCTTGAATTGCATGTTTCTTTGGGGAAAAATGAAAAAGCCTTTATCACCGTGTATATAAGTGGACTAGGCCCGTATGCTTTATTTATATCTGAGAGAGATGTCTAATCATCTGAAGAACAGGAAAAAAAGGTAGGGGAGAGATGGACACTTAGTGAGGTGAGAAACAACCTTTGTGGGAATGCCATGCAGACACGGGTGCAGCTGGGCTGTGTTGATACCCCATCCCCTGTCCCATGACCCTAATAATTCCCTTAAAGGAGAACATGGTCTAAGGCACATGATAATGTGAAGTAAATATTTTCTGCCTTAAAACAAAGAAAAAAATGAAGACAGAATAATTCTTTTTTTTCCCCAAAGTTAGACTATGAGTTTTTTTTTAATTGAAGTATAGTCAGTTTACAATGTTGTGTTAATTTCTGGTGTACAGCATAGTGATTCAGTTATATATACAGATATGCATATATATTCCTTTTCATACTCTTTTTCATTATAGGTTATTGCAAGGTGTTGAATATAGTTTCCTGTACTATACACTAGGACCTTGCTGTTTATCTGTTTTATATATAGTAGCGTGTATCTACAAATCCCAAACTCCTAATTTATCTGCCCCCACTTTCCCCACTGGTAACCATAAGTTTGTTTAAGATAATAATTCTTGGACAGATCACTTTAGCAGCTTAAATTTGGAGAAACTGCCACTCTTCCTGGTGTTGGTTGCTCTATGAGGATCTGTACTTTAGATTTTTAGATTTTAGACCTTTCCTTTAGATTTTAGTAGTAGCTATGTGGTTTGTATTCAACTTTAAATAACTACTTCTATCTTGCAATAAAAGGCCTTGGGTGCTGAATGATAAACCTTAGGTTTTCCGGCCATTTGGACAGTTTTGGAGATTATTAGCCTAGAGATGATTTGGAAGTGTAATTATTTGCCAGTTGAACTGAAACTTTGAGTTATTTCATTGAGTTCAGTGTAGAAATAGAAGAGGTCTTTAGAGTCAGAATCTGAAAATAGTTTGTAAAAATGACTGCTCTATATCCCTTTATTGGAAATCCCTCTTGGAATTAGGTTTTTATTGCTAGAAGAGGAATTAGCAAAGTAGTCTGAAGACTCTGACGGTGCATAAACTTTCAGGTTAAAGAAAGTATACTAACCGCTCAGGGAAAGTACTGCCTTTTCCTGATGTCACATTTCTTTCCGTGTAACAGTCTGAGCAATGCAGACGTGGAAGAAGTATCACATCAAACGTAACAGGTTCAAGTATGAATGAGAAACACAGCTGTGCTCTGACTCCTGGCACCGTCTGCCATTCTTTATGGTTCTTTTTTTAAACCATATTTACCCAGAAATAGGTGATGAAGATGTAAGCATATGTGAGTGCGCATGCGGGTGTGAAAGTGTGCTCTTGTGTGTGTGTAAAGTGATCATGAAGCTTTATCACAACTGTTGTGATAAACTAATAAGAATTTAGATGACTTCTTTTTAGCAGAACAGGAGTCTGAAAGCTTTGTTTAATGCAAACAAGACTTCCATAAGCAACTCCTAAAAAGAAAAAAAATGCTTTATTTGGTAGGTTATTCTCTTTAACACATTCTGACGTATTGGGTACTGTGGTAGGCTACCTTCGGAACTTCAGGTGATCTCATACTCCACAACTATGGGCACGCTACAGGGTAATGTAGTCTATGAATTCTCAAACGTTAGGGTCTTAGAATTTTTCTCTGAGAAATCCGGCGAAAACTGAACACAGACCCTTGGCACTCCAATTTGTGCATATTTTCCCCATAACTGCATCTGTTTACACTCACCCCATGCACTTTTCTCTCCTTCCCTGCACACTAAATAAAGCTATGAACTGCAGTGCAGAGGATTGCGAACTTCTATCCTGACTGACCCTTGGAGACTCATGGCCCCTGTTCAGTGTTGAATAATAATGCTCATCCATTAGGTTATTAGAGCTGTTGCTTTTCCTGGGCATTGGAAAAGATCAAGTAGATGAAGGATCATTTTAGCAGCTCTTCTCTAAAGCTTAGGAAAAGTGACAAATACATTAAAAGAGAATTTCGTATCTCCATTTAAAAATGAACAAAATTGCTGTTATTAACTTGGATATGGCTGTTTACCTGAATTCCCTAAGCTTGAAGACAGGCATGTTGATGTGAGCAATATGGTCATTTACATGCACATGAAGTCTGTCGACACTGTAGGTAATGATGGTAGAAAAGAGAGATCTTAGGTGATGGTAGAGAGAGAACTAGAAGGTAACGGTGACGTAGTTTGTTGACAATTCATATCACAGGATTTCAGGATGAGTACTGAGTTCTCTGATAATGTCTCAGTCTGTGGACCCCGTTGCCATGTCCCATTATCCCACTACCTGGTCTCTCTCCATGGGGTTTGGTAGCAGGTGTGGCCATCCTGGCCCGGCAGAGCTGCTTCTGGCATCAAACGTGCTCATTTAATAAGTGTGCAATTAAATATGTGGTTTCTCTCTATGAGAACTCACTTGGGTTACAAGTTCTTACTGAGCCTGACCTTGACTCTGGGAGATCTTCTTGGGCCTGTGTTCCTTTTCATTGGATGTGCTAAAGAGAAGATTGCTCAGGTGCTCACACTAGATGAAATTTGGAGGGCCCTCTCTGGATGATCACAAGGAAAGTTAACTGAATTGTTTGACTGTCACATTGGATGAAATTTGAAAGGACCTTAATAATTGCCAGTTACATTTTCTCAAAAAAAAAAGCAAACATTTTTCTTTTTTCTCTTTTTGCTTTTGATTTTTATAGAATTAGAAAATGGAATCAATTTTAGCTAGCTTTCCATGAGGAGGAGAACCAGGCTGCTGTGTATCTGAATTCCATGACCACATCCCTGTACAAAATAAGGGGCCGAATTCCCCTAGTACCTGCACTCCTGGCTCTCCTGGGTTAGGCTTTTTCTCACTCAGACCCAGCAGGTGGTGGTGATGCCGGGTTGCCAAGGAAGACCCAGTTCAGCTCCCTGACTCAACCCCCTGGGGAAATGAACTCAGTCGAAGGTAGCCAAGGAGAGGGGGTTGGGCAAGAGGTTCTTGGTGGGCAGGCCATGACTCATCATGGAAAGATAAGAGGGTGATAGTGGTGGACAAACATACAGATCTGAAGGCTTTACAGTTCCAAGATGGTTACTGTTCCCTGAAGAGCTTCGTTTTAATTTTGTATAGATGTATACATAGTATAATATACATTGTAGACAGAAGGGCAGGTTTTTCAGAAGGAGTAAAAATTGATGAAAACTGGGTATTGACCATAAGCAGGGCTTATGGATTACACTGATATTTTATAATGATCAGAAATACCTTGCAGGTTATGATGAGAAAGTTGCCTTCAGACTCTAGTGAGCAGAGGTAATCAGAGGAAGCAGTTGTGGGAGGGAAATAGCAAACCCCTATCCATGATAGCTGTGCTTTCACGTAAAGTAGAACAAAGAGACTTGCATGTAGAAAATTCAGGGCAGGCAGTCCTCAACATACAGTGGCCCACAGTGGTTTTACGGTGTGTCCATGAGGAGCCCTCCAAGTCAGCCTGCTGCAGGAGTGTCCCTCTCTGTTCCTCATGGGGCTCCACCTTCCCCCTGTTGGGCCATGAGTGGAGGGAATGTGGTCCTGGAACTCCTCATTGGTATTGAGTCCATTTTCCCATGTACAGGAGGCGGGGTTGGCCTCCTGGTCTGAGCTGGGAGCCCAGTCACACTGTAGAACACTGTTTCCATAAAAATGCCATCTAAGCTTCAGAACTGACTTTCAAAAGGAGCACTAGCTTTTGGACACTAGAGATGGCCTGTGTGCCAGGCTGAAGTGGGATTTTAGCTCTCCATTTAAAAATGAGCCAAATTGCCGTGATGACCTTGAACGTAGTGATTTATCTGACATTCCCTGAATGTGAATAAAGGAATTTAGATGTGGGCAGTATAGTCATTTATATGCACAGCACTTGCAGACTTCCACATCCATTTTTGCTTTTGTCTTTTTTAAATTCACATCCATTTTAATTGGGGAGATAGTTTATTAGTTTAATGTTTCTTGTGAGTTCCAGCAATATGTATCTAAATAAGTTGGGGCTCCTGGTCCTTTGGGGCTATTTCACAAGGTCAGGTAGTCCCAGTTTTTTCCCACCTGACTCGCAGGAGTGCGTGCGGTTCCTTCCACATGTCCCTTCCAGGGCAGTGAGTGTGGGCAGAGGTGCAGGACCTGTGCTGTGAAGCACAGTAGCTCAGTGACATACATTACAGGAGACTTCCCTTTTGTTCTCACCTCTCTTTCCTGGGCAGCGTCAGCAATGCAGGCTTTTAAGAATACTGACTCAAATAGACTGTCCAGGGGCGGGGGGGTTGGGGGAGTGGAGAATGGTGAAAAGAGAAAAAGTAGGGCTGTTGCAAATAGTATTTGCATTACCTGTCGGGCCAAGGATCCACACGCTTTAGCCATTAATGAAGACGTCATGAAAATTTTAAAAAAGAAAAGGGAGATTTTCTTTAAAGATTTTTATATCTGCTATTTCAAAAGAGAAGCATCAAAGTGGTCATCTTGGAAAAAAAATAAGGACTTGGCAGGATGTCTTAATACATCTTTTGAGCTTTGGTATTGTTTTTATTTTGAATTACCGATGGGGGAGGAGGAATCTACTGTAATCCTTTTGGTACTTAGGGCTTCCAGGATAGCCCCCGGCCCTGAGTGAGTGGGCAGGGGAATGAGGGATCTCAGCAGGGAGTCCTCGGTCTCCGGTCTTGCATGATGCCGCGGTGGCAGCAGCGTTGCACCCGCCCAGCGCACAGACTGAATGCATGAGCCCCCTTGCTTGATGCCCCACATGAAGCCAGACCATGGGGAGGTTGCAACCAACTTTTGTTGTTGCCTTGTAGTGTCTTGCTGGTTCTTTCTTTTCTCTTTTTAAACAAAGGAACTTCTTTTTAGGAGACTGGACACTGTGAGCAAAGCATTTTAACTTGCTTATTTCAACTGAGCTAAGCTGCTGCATTTGCTTAACTAACCCGAGCCTGTGTCCATTCTCCTTTGAGTGTGCTGTCTGACTGTGCACTCTGGTTTTCAACTTTCTAGGTAAGAAAAACGCTTGTTCCAGAGTTAGGTAAGAGCTCACACCCCCAAGGCAGCAAGATACTGAATAAAGCAAAGGGTTTTTTTGTTTGTTTTGTTTTTGTTTTGTTTTGTTTTTTTCTGCCACTTTGGTGAAGGCTGATCCACTGATACAGAGCTCTCGAGTTCTGGAAGGAAGCAGCTACAAGACCTTCAGAATTTTTCTTAGTTCTCCTAAGAGCCCCCTAATTGGAAAGGCCTCACTGTAATAATTTACATCTGGTGAAAATTAGCCTTGTCACTTGCTTCTGAGATAGACAAATTGGGCTGCTGAGGCTTTCTGTGATTTACAGTGAACAACTTGAAGCTTCTCTTGAGCTTCACAAGGCTATACACTGGCCGGGAGGTTGTAAAGCCATCCAAAAGGTTGAGCTCTTCTACGTTTTATTTAGAGTTATTTTGGAAAATCTGCCTCAGGGCGAGTTGATTACTTTGCTCTGGAACCAGCGTGGTTGTCATTATCATTACCCTTCTCTCGTCATGATCTGATTAATATTGTGGATTTCCCCCCCTTCTGCTTGCATCTTCCCTTTGACGCACTCTGGAAGAAATGTCAAGAAGAGGAGGTTCGACCCTACTCAGCAAGGCCCCATCTGAATCAGCGGCACCGGAGGAACAGCGTCTTGCACTGCTGGATTCTGGGTATGACATCCTTGCTGCATCGTTGCCGGAACTCTTAAGTCTGTCAACAAAAACATTGGGTGGTAATAACTACAGAACTGAAGTTGGGGTGACAGGGATGGGGTGAAAGAAAACTGTCCTTTCTGGAAATAATTTCAAAGAACCTTTCCCACCACCTGTCAATAAAAGGGGGGGGGGAAGACACTTATAAAAAGAACTATTTCAGAATCTTTTTTTTTCTAACTAAAGGAAGAAGGAACAACACACACACAATTAAGTGCAATAAAAGAACCATTAAAAGATAGCAAATGATTTTTTTCTTTCCTCAGCCTGTTGGCACTTAGTATCTTCAAAATGATTTGGCATGATTTTTTTTTTCTTTTCCTACCAATGACACACTCCAGTGGCATGAAGATCTAATTTTCGAAAGGGTAAAATCTGCATGGCACATATACAACAAGCAGCTAGCAAGCCAATCCACAGCCAAACCTGCCGCTGAATCCCTACGGTGAAGATGACAGATGAACCCACGGAAGCTGCCTGGCCCCCCGCCCCCTAGTCTAGACCAGGCCACGAGGAACTCCACGCGCCTCTGCTCTTGTTGATTCACTTTCCCGTTGTCTTTTCTCCTGGACCAAGCATCCTCTGGAAATGGGAGCTGGAATTTGAACAATGATGCTATTGTATAGTTCTTTTATAAATGTAAATATGGAAATAAGAGATTTTGACACATCATTTTCACTTGTCCGTACTGAAATAGTTCTCTTGTAAAGGTTCTCTGTAAATTTTTAGTTTAGTGTTTGCTCCCCATCTTTTTGGTTTCTTTCCTCTATTTCTTTCTGTCTCTGTCTCTGTCCTCTCTTGTTAACATGTTGTATAGTGATCCTTGGGTTTGCTTAAAGAAAAGACAGATGTAGCCACAGATGCTGGGAGTTTGGGCACAAAACCGATGCAGTGAAAAAATGAAATGCTTGAATGAAATGAAACGCTGGAAACCAAAAATAAATGAAAAGGTGGGGGACACAAAGAACAAAATACCCATATGAAAAACAAAAAAAATGTAAATGCAAATATATGTACCCACAAGTCTCTAAATTTTTTTTTGATGTCGTTATAGATGTATGTATATAATGTAAGAAAGTAGACACCCTCTCAAATTATCACAAAAGTGCCAAGCTCATGATTTTAGTTTTTGGTTTTGACAGTTTTCTTCCCCTGCCTTGAATGTGAAAGGAGGATAAACTTAAAGCCTTAAATCAAAAAATAATTTTTAAATGTTGAAAGCTTGGGGAAAAGATAAGCTTTCTGTTTTATTCATATCTATTATTGTCAATATTTCATTCATGCCTTCCACTTCCTGCCTCAAGATACATATGGTAGATCCCCACGGTAAAAGCTGGCAATGGGGACAAAACAGTCATTACCTTCTTGTGAGCATTGTTCTAATAGGCTGTAATACTCTGTGTTGTGTTTCCAACAAACCGAAGTGTGTGGCTGGTCTGTGGAATGTTGCATTGGATTACAATGGGATTCTACCGTGTACAAATTCACCTCCTTCTTTCTCCTCCAGGCAGATTTGCAGGTGTAATCTGAGTTCCCAGGTCTCTCTGAATTTACTTCCCTTTCACTGACTTCCTCCATTTATGGTCAAGATAGCTTCCATTCATTCAAGGGTCAAGTATATCTGCGTTAATAAAGAAATCTGGTCCCGGGTTTGTTTTGAATGAAAAAAACTTGAACATGATCCCTTCAGTGAGCATCCATCCAGAGACGAGTTTTACTGAAAGCCCCCAAGCCCACGTTCTCTAACGTCCTGTCTTTAGAAGCAGGACATCCAATCGTACCACTCACTTCTTCATGGCAACCCAATTAGCTGCCAGATTGCGCATTAAGTTCTTTTTCAGTGAGAGTCATTAACATCAGTCTCATCACTTTTGCTTTGACTTTGCAAAGGATTATGTCCTAAAAATGTACTGTTTAAACAGATTTTTTCTCCTAATTTATAATTGTGGAAGTATCGCAGTCATAGAGCAGAAACCTTAATTTCTTTATGCTACAATAGAACCTGTAACATCTTAATCCTGTTATTGCTTTCTGAGTCCTAGGTGCTACGCAGGTGTGCAATTTTTTTCTAGAACTAGCTGTATGTTTATATTGTAATAAGAGGGCTATCTGCAAGATTTATCAGCCTTACTTGGCTTCATAAAACACAGGTTTTATGTGTTACATAAAACACATCTACCTAGCGGCAATGGCTCTTAGAGGAAACTTGGCGGAAACTCAGATTACTCCACACCTCTTCCTGCCCCTACATCATCTTTGCCTCTCTGTTGCCGGGTCCTGTTCACTCGTGGACACGTAGCTGCGGCTGAGTCCGCCATATACATTTCACTGCTGTTCCAGAGGCACCTCGGTGACTTAATAGATACAAAACCATGGCAGTACAAACAAGTTAAATCTCTATTGTTAACTTTTGAGCATTTCACAGACAACATTGTAAATGTGCGATGTTATGTTTTAAATCAGACCACAGTGGTCCCCAAATATTATGTACATATGACAAATGTCCATGTAACTTTTTGTTACACTGGCAATTTCATAGGTAACCAAACCTATGCTCCAATGTTAAATTATTGTGTGTATATGTAAAATGCACAAGCTTTAAGCTCTGTGTGTATGAATGTGAAAGATAATGCAACCACACCAGTTGTGAACAATGGATTATAGTCATTTTTGGTGGTATTAGGTTGTGTAGTTTCAAACTCTGCTGTGTTTTCTCTTGCCTGTGCCGTTCCTTTGCTGATTTTTGTGGTGTGGATACACCTTTTTATTCATTTGAGCTCAAAGCAAGCGTATCAACCGTTTAATGTTACCCGACAAGAGTTAGTGTTAAGTGACGACAGGTTCCCATTTCAGCTGCTATAGCCTTTTGCCGCATTTATTAACGACACCTGGATGAGGAGACGTGCGCTTCATTGCTCACCCTGGGATGCTGCATGAGCCCACCGAATTAGAGCTACTCCTACTAGATAAATGAGCAGTACACATAGGTGCATGATCTGAAACATGAATCATAGAGAGCTGTGGAGTTTTACCAAGTGGTATGTGTGTGTTTTTTGTCTTTGTTTTTCTTTTCTTTTTTTTTCCACTATGCAAAGATGGGAAATGCACAAACTTTTCAAAGACTAGTGTCTGAAGAAGTTTCC